GTCTTATTAATTCAATTATGACCATTAATGAGGCCAAACTATGTTTGATTTTATTTGATTCATTAGCATTTTTTTTATTTTACAATGTTTTTTCTCTCAGTGGAGTTTCGGAGTCTGTGAGACTGCATGTCAGCAGTTAAGGGTTAAAACTGATCGATGTCAAAACGTTCCTTATAGAACTAGGTCAATTAATAATAGGAGGGTTTTATTATCGAAAGAACATAAATAAAGTTTAACGATTTAACTTCAAGGATAATACCCGCTGCATGTAAGCATGTAAATGAATTGTACGAGACACGTAACAGAAACTAGCATGCAATAAGGCACATATTATACCGAAAGATATCGTCTGATTTATACGCTCCGACGATTTATACCAGCCGTTTGTAAAAATAATACTGATTAAAAAGGAAAAAATTAATTACTTAAACATTCGGTTTGTACATATCGCCCGATCTAAAGCCCTATGCATGCATTTTTAGGTCAGCGTAAAACCGACTTGTTTTCTTTACTTAGCAAGATATATAGCCTTTGTTTCTTTTCCATTTTGCTGCATTTATTTAAATTTTAAAATTTTGCATTTTATCTGTTATAAAAGCAAGCCGTTTAATATACAGGTTGACCCAGTCTTCTGATAAAGCTATATGAAAGAGTATATTAGATTATTCGTTTGTGATTTTCATTTCAATTTTTTTACATAATATGGGGGCAATTGTAACGCCCATTTTGAAAGTATTTTTGTACATTTTGTACATTTTTGTAACATACAAGGTGATTTATACATATTTTCAAATTAAAGTAGCATATTTTTTAAATGAAATACTATATATTTTTTAGCTCAGTGGATGTGCCATTAATACAGGCTTTCCCATTATTCGGTGAGCGTAGAACTACTACGTATTATGGTTAGGTTAGGTTCGGAGTACCCAACAAATTTCTTACAGTGTGTAAGAGCCTCCGTAACATCAAAAAGTCGAGAGTGTCACATCATGGATCACGGAGCGATCCCTTCTCCTGACAAATACAGTAGTTAGGTAGGGATGTGTCCTAGCTCCTCTCTTATTCAACATATTCATGATAGCGGCCTCTATTATAGTGGACAGCAAACTGCAGGAAAGAGGAATGGGTGTTATATAGACGTATGACGGCGGTCTGATCAACATAAAAAGACTCAGGGCAAAAATACGTATAAAATTCATCACAGACAATTATTCTTCAATACGCTGATGACTGTGATATGCTCTAGTTGCAAACACGTTACAGCAATTACAGGATATGCTGAACACACCTGAGCATACGAGACTTTGTGCCTTAAGCTGAACATCGATAAAACTAAAATCATGTGCAATCCCCCAGAAAATCATAACAGTGCTATAAAAATCGGAGAAGAACTATTGGAATATGTAGCGGAATTCAATTACCTCGGCAGTATGATTTCGGAAAAGGCAAATATCAAATGAAATTCAGCACAGAATTAGCAGCGCCTCAAGAGCATTCTGGAAATTAAAAGACAGAGTTTTCTACAATCATGACTTGGGCACAAAAACGAAACTTGCAGTTTACCGAGTAATAATAATCCCCACCATGTCATATGGAAACGAAACCTGGGTGCCGTACTGCCAACGCATGAACGCATTAAGCAAGTTGCGAGACAGTGACACCCTCGACAACTATTAAGAATCAGATGGTCCCACCATGTCTCAAACGTATCAGTCCTTGAAAAAGCAAGCTGCGAGAGCGCTGACGACATGATTACTAAATCCCGCTTAAGATGGGCTGGCCACGTATGCAGGATGTAAGGAAACCGCCTACCGAAATCTTTTCTTTACTGTGAGCTTGTTGAGGGTAAGAGGAAACCGGGTGGATATCTCAAAAGATGCAAGGATCTTTTCCATGAAAACTTAAAGGGGATAAGTATGCAGCATCAGTGGGAGGAAGCAGCGCAAAATAGAACGCAATGGAGGAGAATCGTAAACTCAGTTAACAACGAAAACCAAAAAGTAAAGAGGCAACAAAGTAATGAGATTTTTGAATGTCCGGAGTGCGGAAGAGTGATAACATCACGTATCGGGCTTTCACAGAAAAGCTCACGAAAGAAAGCGCCTTGCAGAATCCTGTTCTGATGCGTGTCAAATACTCGTCAGCGAGTAATGGCAGTAAGTAAGTTAGTACCAGAAAAGTTTCAAAAATGTCAAGGATTGCTGAATTTTTTGAAACAAAAACGGATTTTTTTACAAATAAATTTTATTTTTTCCTGTCATTACATTTCAGAAATTAGAAAAACTAATTGCAAATTCTCATATCCATTTTATTAGGGCTGATAGTATTTTTAGATTTTCAAATTAGCTGATAATTTATGATAAAATTATATAAGAGTTTCTTGCCTTGAACTGCTAATATAGAAATTAATTCCACGCTGTGCTCGTCATAATGTGGATCAACCTGCTCTCACTACCGGTTTCGGGGCCCTACCACATCATCAGGTGAGCTTGGGTATTTCCACAAAACGACGAGCACAGCGCTGAATATATCAATCCGACTTGTCGTAAAGTAGCGGTAAGATATTAAGTCCCGCATCGCGAGATAGCCGCATCGCGAGATAGCGTGGAATTAATTTCTATATTAGCAGTTCAAGGCAAGAAACTCTTATATAGTTTTATTATATACCTAAAAACTGCAAGAAATTTATTTTCCATAATAGGTACATATGTAGGCCAATTTATTTTTTTAATAACGGACTTGCATTTTTTATTTCAGGTTATAACCCTTACAACAGATCTTCTTATACTTCCGAATGCATTTTGTACACTTTGTAGTAAGAGGTAAGAGGAGTAACTTTTTACAAATGAAAATCTAAAAATACTATCAGGTAGCCGTAATAAAGTAGCTATGAAAATGTGCATTTTTACATATTTTAAAAATTAATGACAAGAAAAAATAAAACGATGATTTTCAAAATTTTCCAGCTTTTTTCAAATATCTCAGCAATCTTTGAAAAATTTAAAACATTTTCATGGCATATTGCTAAACATCCCGAGGTGCAACATTGTCTCAATTTCATCATGTTCGTATCTATTACAGTTACCGAGATACTCTCTCTTACAGTTACCGAGATACTCGTACTCCGAATTTGTAGCACCCTGTATAATAAAAATCCGAAATAACAAACATTCGGTTATAGCACACAAATTTTTTCCTCCATTCATATTATAATCGAATTCGATTGCATTTGAAATCTCAGGTGCACATTTTATATTTATCTCAAATAGCACAAGAAGGTTATACCAAAATAAACAAAAAGGAAGCAAACGAACGAAAAGACTGACGCAACGGGGACTTTAAATAAAAGAAATTCCGTATGCAGTAAGAAACGTTAATTTGCAAAAGGGCTCAAAAGATTTGCGCCGATTGAAATAAATGACTCGTCGAAATCCCACAATATTTCGAAAGCCACCGTGCTCGCCGAAAAAGAGAAAGGGAAATACAAAAGAGATAAAACTTTAACAGTAATAAAAGAGCCATTTTGAAAGCGAGTAATGGAAAGCTGAAAGCCAAACATTCGTTTCTTCGGCTCTTTATGCATATGTACGGTCGTTAGCTTCGATGGAAAATGTCATTGATTTTGCCATTCGACGATTTTTCTTTTTTCAATGCTCACTTCTTGTGTCATGATAGATATAAATAGCTGGCATTTTCTTATAATACACTCTTTGTTTTGAATTGAGAGTTAAAGCGTTTCTTCAAAGTAATACAGTTACGAAAATGTTTCACATTTAGAAAAGACATTTAAGAAAGTAAATTTACTTGAAAAAAATCTGGGTTTCTAGCCACTTTAAGCGATATCTACAAAATAAAAAGTTATTTTTTGTAAACATCACTGGCGTTGAATCCAAATGGAGACTAGATTATCAGTGCTTTTTATTATTAAAAAAAAACTTTTTACTGTTAAAAAATTCCAAACCCCAAAAAATGCTTAAGGTTTCAGGAGATATGTCTCCTCTTGTCGTCAGGAAGAGAAATAAAAAAAGGAAGAGAAAACTATTTAAAATGTTTAAATATAACTATTCAAAAATAGTTGTTTTCACTAGTTATCTCGTTTCGTCGTTTAGTTTTCAGCAGTTACTATAAACCGTTGACGTTCTGTTAAAATAATGTTAAATGAAGGCAAGCTTTAAATTAACAGATACCAACTGGCCATAATTTACCTAATGAGATAACTTTTTATGTTCTGCATATGATTTTAACGTTTTAATTGTTTTTAATATTCACTTATGTTTAATTTCAGGCGTCTGCATGCAAAACCCAACATATCCATTTAATAAATTTTATACAAAACACAAAAAAATGATTTAAAATATTATGAATATTAAAAAGAATACTAAATCTGTGAAAATGTTCTGCATAAAGATCTAATTCAGGGAGCTCTCTTGTAAATTGGTATTTTAACCCGAATATGCCTACTGCTCTTTTAAAAGGACATGTAAATGTAGGAATGTTTTAATTTTTATTTGAACTTTTCATAATTGTTGAATAAAGTCAAAATAAAATGGATTCAGTTATTTTTCTGAAATTTTATTGGAAAATAAACAAAAGTAGGCAAGGAATTATAATACACCTAGCTTTTAACTAAAACTAAACATCAAAATCTAAATTTTTAGCAGAATAAAACTTTACTTAGTTAATCAGGTTACATTGTCACATGACCTGACTAACTCATTCCTATTGGCTGACGAGGTACATGTCGGTGTTTGAACTTAAATCCTGGTAGGACTTGTCGTTTTTTACATTTAAACAGATGCAAGCTTTTTGCACATTTTTCATACTAAAAACTTTATAGATAATATCGACATTTGCAAGAAAATATTATGAAATTTTATAGCTCTTTGGATAACGAATAAAATGGTGTATCGATAATTTCAAAAATGTACAATCATTTTAATACGATTTATCCTTTATACTTTTTATAATATTATACTTCCTTTGTTTTGAATGATACTTACATTGATAAAAGCAACAATCATTGCCAGTGCAGCTAGCCATGCACATTTTGTTTCAAAAAGCCATGTAACTTCATCTACGCATCCGTGGAAGAATGGATTTCCGGTAACGGTGTCTCTGCATTCTGATGGCAACGGTTGTTGAAGTATCAAATAATCGTCTGGTCCATCAGCTCCACAGCATCCTACCTGAATATGAAAGATAATTTAATTGATCAAAAAAAATGTACTCGTCTATTGTCTTTCTTAAAATCTAATATATATTTCGGGTGATGCACCCTCGTTGGAAACAGGAATTCCCATGCAAATTTTGAACTGTTTAAATATTGACTACCCTATTAATTTTACAGCTAAGTCAAGTAAATAAGTTTATAAGTAAATAAGTTTATTAAACGCCTACGTATGCTGAATATACACACATGCCAAATTAGAACATCTTAAGTTGTTAACTTATCATTTTATCACTGTCAAATGTTTTTTGATATTGCATCTACACTGCTGCGTTGTAATACCTAGGTTAGTGCCCCCTAAATGCATTTTTGTAATTTAGAACTGATTTGAATGAGGCAAAAACTCAATGTTTAAAAAAATAATTCGACACTGGCAAAATTATAGGATGCCATCTTAACCTACGTTGGCATTTCCCTGGTTTTCGGATTGTTACTTGTTCAGTTTTAACTGAAAAATATATGCAGTTTTTCTTATATTACTTAAAATCGACTTCCCCAAAAGACCTTTAAAAAACCTATTTACGCGACTTTGCTGAAGGATTAATAGGGAAGTCAATATTTAGACAGTTCAAAATTTGCATGGGATTTCGTATCTTTCCAACGACGATGCACCACCCAGTATATGGCTTTAAAGGTATGTATTATTCCACAAACATAATTCTTAAGGTTATGATATATTTTATGGTACCTATTTATACTACAACAACGGTCATTGGTATATATGTTGGAGGCAGATGCCGAATTTCGGCCAATGTCCAAATGGCCAATGTAGCCAAAAAAAATCGGCCAATGTCCAATGACATATGACGATTTGTCCATACTAAACCTGCCAAGGGGTTAATTATTTTTTTGGTATAATATAACAACAAAAGATTAACACCCCCCGCATAGAAGTTGAAACTAATGCAATCAAAACTCTTCCGCGTAACTTTGTGGATATAGGTAGGTATATTTAATTATAATCGCCGTATGTCTAATTTTCGGCATCTGCCTCCAACATATATGTTACAGTGAGAGTCGGAAATTCAGTGATTGTTAACATTCACTAGGAAATGCTAGCAATTACGCATTGGACCAGTGAATGTGGTATTTTAAAGTGATTTGTCGACTTTTCCTATCAATTTCTAGCAATCACTAGTGAACGTAACGTTTACTAAAGGTAGCCAGTGAAAGTCACCTAAATATTCAAGTTGATCAACATATCTTAAAATTACAATTACTTCTTTAGTATATTTATTAAAAATTTTAGAAAATATCGTCATATTATAACCTTCTAAATTTTAAATGGGAAAACATAGTAAACATTTTAAAGTGTACAAAACAATTTAAAAGAACATTCACAAACATAAGATTGCTTATTGGTACAAGGTTTTTTCAATAAAGTTCTTCATCGTGGACAAAATAAAGATGACCGAATTTTCTTCAACGGGGGTTATTCGTTTTTTCAAACCCGCTACTTCAAGCGTATCAAAACCTTTAATAAGTTCATAGTCACTAGGTTCTTCAATATATTTTTCTCTTGCATGCTTAACTTTGTTATGACTTCATTATATTGCAAAAATGAAAAACAGGCACTATTACATTCTTGCGAGTGTCTAATTTGCCTTAATTTTTCACAGAAAATTTCTTTCGTAGAGAAAATACCACAAAGCTCTTTTTACAACGATAACAAAAAATATATACATAACTAATCAACATTAACTAATTAACAACCTAAGCCAACGTTTAGCCCAATTTAATGTTAGGTTACAACATGACGCAACCGCAGTAACTGAATCTTTTAAAATCACTGCTAACGTCCAGGGAATACTAGCATTTACTAGTAAAAGTTGGTTTCAAAAATAGCTGTTGAAATGTGAGCTTTTACTATTCATTGTTAACAATCACTGATTTCCAACTTTTACTGTAACATATATATGTTGGACGCAGATGCCGAATTCGGCCTATGTGCGAAATAATTAGACATATGGCGATTATAATTAAATATACTTACCTATATCCACAAAGTTACGCGAAAGAGTTTTGATTGCAATGGTTTCATCTTCTATGCGGTGTTAATCTTTTGTTGTTATATTATGCCAAAAAAAGATTTATTCCCTCCGCAAAGAAGTTATATAAAGACTATTTATTACCACGAAGTTGCACGCATCTGGCAAGTTTAATATGGACAAATCGCCATATGTCTAATTATTTCGGACATAGGCCGAATTCGGCATCGGCCTCCAACATATATATATTCTTGTTGGACAGACTCTTTAGGTAAAATATTAAAAACAAATTGCTTTATATAAAGTATAGCTATACTAATCGATCTAAATATAATCCTAAAACACACAGCATGTGTTGCTCTATTTTCAATGTCTCTATTGTTTGTTCCACTCAAAGCTCTCGTAACCGGAGACTACATTTCCGTTAAATAAAAAATTCTCACAACAGTGCTGTCATAATGTTCCGTACGAACTAATATTTGTGCTGGGTTTAGGTTTCTAAAAAGCATCGATATACTGCAGAAATACTATATTCCCGCTAAAATCTTGAGGAAACGTTAGAAATAAAGTTGCTGTCTGTGTACATACCGACTTCAAATATCGGAAATAAAATATTTTTACGGGTTATCTAGTATTTTTCTTCGCCAGTTGTTAAGTGTTAAGTAAATGTTATATTCCCGTGTGCTGGATATACGATGAATTAGTAAGTAAATTGATTTAAGATATAGAAAGTTTCTTTAAATGCTTCTATATTCTATTTTATTAAATTAGTAAAGTGAAAATGAGTTACTCTATTGTAAAAGTATTAAATAATATATCACTGGGGGTTTCATAAATTCCGTAAAGCTCTAGTTTCTTGTCTAAAGTTGTATCATTAAGTTTTTTTTTTCTGTATTAACAACTGATATAAGCTATTCTACATTTATGCGATAACAATCTATTGTATTGTATTTGACTCCACTGCGGCCGCGAGGGCCTATTGTGGCTCAGTTTCTACAAGCTCTTTAATAGAAAAAGAGCATTAAAATTCACCCTGAAGACCTAGCCTTTTAACATAGGCCGTTATGTCCGAGAGTGATATGTCTTCTAGGTCTGATAGGTCTAGCATAGGTTTGCCAAACACCTCTAACCTGGACCTGTCCCCAGCGGGATAGGTACACATAACGTGCTTCATTGTTTCGTCATCTTCCATACAGAGTCGGCATTCGGCGTCTTCAACCAGTCCCATCCTCTGTAGGTGTCATCTTAGCCGGCAATGGCCAGTGTATACTGCAGTAAGTGTACGCGCTCCGTTCCTACCAGCCTTTAGGAGTTCATCTGTTCTACGTTTGGATGGCCCTGCTAGGATTGTCTTGGCATGTTCCATTCCGGGACTGCCATACCATTCCCGAAACGTCGCACCCCTAACCAATTCACGGAGCCTGTCTCTTGCGAGATCTTTTGGTACGCTAAGTGTCGGTTCTGGGCCCACGAATGACGAGCCTCCACCACTTTTGGCGAGGGAATCAGCACGTTCATTTCCCTCTAGGCCGACATGTCCCGGTATCCATATTAGCGACACTTTGTTCCTATCTCCTAACAATCTATACTACAACGCTAAAGCTCCATCTACAGATATCGTATTACCTGTCAGTTTTGTGTGTCAGATAAAACGGATGACCGCCTGGAAAAATAATGCATACGTAATAGAATTGCTGACGATTTGAACACTAAAATAATCCACTTTTTATGTAAAACATAAACATAGGATAAAAATGGCACCGTTAATTTTTTTTATTGACTGGACCAACAAAGGATTAAGAATGGATGGAGAATATTTTAAACATCTAATATTCGCTGATGATGTCCTAATTGCCAATAGTCCCGAAGAACTACAAGCACAAATTAAAGAACAATACAGCCAGCATTGAAGTAGGTCTCAAAATTAATTTAGCAAAAACTAAAAGAGTGGACTACCGAACTGGTAGACCGCAAAAGACATTCTAGTAAATAACACAACACTGGGAATAGTAGAAGAATATATATATATATATATATATATATATATATATATATATATATATATATATATATATATATATATATATATATATATATATATATATATATATATATATATATATTCGGGAAACACAACTCAGGATTTCTATTACCAGAAATTAACAGAAGAATTAAGTTAGCATGGAATACTTATGGAAGAAACTCTATCATATTTAAATCTAGAATGCCACTTTATCTAAAGAAGATAACATTCGTCCAATATATACTACGAGTCATGACCTATGCATGCAAAACCTGGACACACAAAACGGATATTATAAGAAAACTGCAGGTCGCTAAATGGAACGAAATATGCTGGGAATAACAAAGATAGGCCGTAACAGAATAGAATACCAATAACTCAAGTGGCAATTTTGACAAGAAGGACGGATAACAGATGGACCATAAAAAATACAGCATGGTACCCACGAGAAATCAAGAGATCTAGAGGAAGACCAAACCTGAGATGGGACCATAATATTAGGAAATTAGCAGGGATAACTAACAATAGACAACAATGGGCCCAACTACAAAGAGAGTATCTAAATATGTGAGATAAGCTACATCATAATTATTGAAAATGGTTGAATAAGCTAAAAATAATGATGATTAATTTTTTTTGGAGTTTTCAACGCGTTTTTATTTTGTCATCTGGAGAGCAATAAAAAGCGAGATGCAATGAAAACTTTCTTTTTGTTGCTTTCTTTAATTTTTATCTTAGACCTGATTAAAATAAACTTTAGAGTCAGACGCGTATCAGAAATCAACAACCTCTGAATATTCCTGTGAAATCTTTTTGCAACTCTAGCAATTAGTATTAAGTATCTCCTCTTTATAACGACGAGACGGTAATCGGCTTACAGCTCTATAAAATTATTCCAAAAAGACTTATCCCGTCTATATTCGAAAACATTTTTTTGCGAAAGCGTTT